CACCTTGCACTGTCCCAGGCTGCTCCAAGCCCTGTCCAGCCTGGCCTTGGACACTTCCAGGGATGGGGCAGCCACAGCTGCTCTGGGAGGGATTTCCTCCCAACATCCCATCTAAACCTGCTCTCAGTTTTCAATCCTTTCCCCCCTGTGTGCTCACTCCATGATCTTGGTAAACAGGGCAGGGGAATTTTGGAAGGGGAAATATCACTGTGCCACCAGATAAATCCCTTTGGAGTTCTGTGTTCTGTCAACCCATCCCAGAAATATTTAGCAGGATTTCAAAGGCTTGGAGCTGGGCAGAAGAGATCACCCCCTGCATGAACGAGCAAGAGGTGATAAATTGTTGGACCTCATGATCTTAGAGATCTTTTCCAGCCTAAACAATTTAATAATTCCAAAATCAACTCAGAGTCTTCAGTTTAGAAAAGGCCACGTGCAAAGCACCACCTCCCACAGGGTTTCAGTGCTGTGTGGAAAGGCTGGATAGGCTGGGATCCATCCTGGATGAACCCAGCAGATCCCAGCCTGTCCCATAACATCTGCCTGCTCTTTTCCAGGTTATCCTGGGTCAGGCCCGAGGGCTCTACAAGAGGTTTGTGAACTCCACAGGGTTCCTGGGGGATCAGCAGTGGGCCATGATTAAGATGGTGGAACAAAGGGTGGTTTTTTACCCCATTGCTTTCTTCTGCTGCTGGGCCCCAGGTGAGCAGAGAGTTCCTCCCACATCACCCCCCTGTGGAACCCCAGAGAGGTGGGGTTAACTTCACCCTCCCATCCATCCCTTTTTCCACAGCCGTGCTCCTTGGGGTGCTGAAACTGACTGCTTCAACAACCAGCAAAATCTACATGGCTCTGCTGATCCTGCAGGTAAATGTCTGTCTGTCCCTGCAGCCTCTGCCTTTTCACCTTGAGTCTCCTGTCCTCAGCCCTGCTGGATCTCTGCTGTGTGAGCCCAAGTCTAATTTGTGCTTCTGATTGGCCAAGATCTTGGTTTGGTGGTTTAGGTCTTNGCATTTGGGTCTCTGCTCCAGAAGGCAGCACTGACATTTCATGAGCCTCTCCCAGGTGTCCTGAAGTGCAGGAGAATGATCCTTGTGGGCTGTTTTGGCCTTCTCTGGAAGTAGCTGGGAAAGGGTAACAACCCCTCATTAAAACTCATTTAATGAGCTGGAAAGTCACTGCAATGTTCCTGTGGCAGCCCTTGGACTCAGCCTCTTGAGCCAGCCAAGAGCATTCACAGCCTCAGTGAAGGAGGCCAGGTTTGTTTAGTGCCCACTTTCCCAGCCCTGGATGATACCAGAGTGGCAAACCTGTGCTCCTTATCTTTTTGGCAAAGGATAGCAAAGCCACAATAAAAATAATAAAAAAAAAAATTCCCTTGTCCAGCCCTTCCTCTTTGCCACTGTAGTTTGTGTTTCCTGTGACAAACACAGCACAGGCATGTACCTGGTGTGATTAGGCAACCTGGAGTAAGCATGAATTTGGAAACAAATTTGATCAATATTTAGGGAGTTTTATAGGAAGTTTTAGATAATTACATTCATCTCAAGCTGGAATCAAAGGCTATGAAACTCTCAGTGTGCTCTATCTTTTCTCCTTTTTCCCATGGAGGAAGAAAAGAGGTTTTTGGGATGTTAACTCAGGCTGAGGGCAGAGAATATCTGCCCTCACATTCTTCTTGAAATATCCAATTGTTTTCTGTTTCCGTGAATTCTCTGCCTAGTGAGCTTATTATGCAAGAAGGAAATCTAAATGTCACATCTGTGCTGTGTTTCCTGATGGACATAGCATTGAGAAGGTCCAAGTGCCTCTGAAACCCTCATTGCCAGGCTCTGAGCCAAAAAAATGAGCCAGATCACAAAGATTTTTATTTCTAAGATAGTTCTGCTGTCAGTAGTTGTCCTGTCTGAGGCCAAAGTGAAGCTGCTTTTGTGTGGTTTAAGGTGGGAATTTCCAACCTGGCTCAGCCCCTCACCTTTGGCAGGTGTTCATCATCCTGCCTCTGTTCCAAGGGATTTGGGAGGAGCTAAACATGCTCCAGGAATTGTTCTTCCAGGACTGAAATTCTGGTTTTATTTCTCAGATATTCTACGTGGCCTCTTTTCTCTACACTGTCAACTACACCTGGCACCTGTACATGGACCTCAAGGTGAAATACAGCCAGAACCTGTTCAGGGTGCCCCCCCAGGTGAGTGGGACTGCTGCAAAGGCTGGGAACCCAGGGACAAGGACACAACACTCAGGAGAAACCTCCCTGCATTGTAGGCTGAGCAAATACTTCACACACCCCGTGACCAAAATCTCTCCTTGCAGTTCATTCCTCCCTCCCACCCAAACAGGGAGGGCAGGGAGGCACCACCACTGCCATGGCCAGGCTGGGAATACCCCAGATATTCCTACAAAACATTCCTTGTGCAGCTCTTCCCAACAAACCCACTGCCCTGCACAGCTTCCCCAGACATTTGCTGTGCACAGCAGATTTTCTATCCCACATATTCCACCTGGAAGTTTAGGCTGGGCAGATTCCCCTCAGCTGCTGAATCCTCCCTGGAAGCTGCTTCTTGTGAACCAGGGGCTGTGCAGAAATAATTTTAATTAAGATTTTTGGATTTTGCAGGTTGTAGATTATGCAAGTTGTGTTGGCCGAATAGCAACGATCTTGTCAAGGTAAGANGGAGGGCAGGGAGTGTGCTCATGGCTGGCTGCTGAGCAGAGCTCTGTCGGGCCGAGAGAAAATCTTTTAGATAAACAATTAATAAACACCGAGACCGAGAAAAGAACTGAAGCCTCTTCTGTTCCTTTGATACGTGGGCTGCCCCAAGGCCACCCCGGGCCTTTCCAGGCCACCCAAACAGCCGAAAACCGGACAGTCTTCCACAGGCATGAAAAGGTCTCGGTGCCCAAATCCCAGCAGTTTAGTGGTGAGCAGGCTGGGGGTGGATGTTTGGACTTGGTGACCTCAAAGGTCCTTTCCAACCTCACTGACTCTGTGGTCATGGAAATTGCAGCAAATAGGACTAGAAAGGATCCCCAGAAATTGGTTTTGTTTCCCTATGTCCCTAAATCTCCAGATGTGATTCCTTAATAACACGTGTCCTGCTCCTTCTTGTGCCTGATGCAGAAGTTAGAAATTTTATTCAATTATATATAATATAGTATATATATATAACACTATAGTTATAGTTATCTATATAAGTTATTATATAGATATAAGTTCTTATACAAGTTACTATATAAGTTATTATATAGATAGTATATAAACATATATAATAAGTTTATTTAATATATAAATACACATAAAACATATTCTATATTTGTATAGCATTTATATTTAATTAGATATTCATTGAACATTTATTAAAATAAATGGGAAGATAAATTCTCCAGCACAGGGAAGATAAAATCCTGCTGGGAGAGGGATGTGATTCCTTAATAACACTTGTCCTGCTCCTTCTTGTGCCTGATGCAGAAGTTAGACATTTTATTCAATTATATCTATATAGAATATAACTATAATACTATAGTTGTAGTTATCTATATAATAACTTATATAGATGTTATATAAGTTACTATATAAGTTATTATATAGATATTATATAAATAAATATATATAATATGTTTCTTTAATATATAAACATACATGAAACATATTCTATATTTGTATAGCATTTCTATTTATTTAGATATTCATTGAACATTTATTAAAATAAATGAGAAGATAAATTCTCCAGCACAGGGAAGATAAAATCCTGCTGGGAGGAGGATGTGATTCCTTAATAACACTTGTCCAGCTCCTTCTTGTGCCTGATGCAGAAGTTAGACATTTTATTCAATTATATCTAATATAGTATATATAACTATAATACTATAGTTATAGTTATCTATATACTTTATTATATTTATTTAATATATAAACACACATAAAACATATTCTATATTTGTATAGCATTTATATTTAATTAGATATTAATTGAACATTTATTAAAATAAATGGGAAGATAAATTCTCTATCACATGGAGGATAAAATCCTGCTGGGAGGGGGATGTGATTCCTAAATAACACTTGTCCTGCTCCTTCTTGTACCTGATGCAGAAGTTAGACATTTTATTCAATTATATCTATATAGAATATAACTATAATACTATAGTTATAGTTATCTATATAAGTTATTATATAGATATAAGTTATTATACAAGTTACTATATAACTTATTATATAGATATTATATAAACATATATAATATGTTTAATATATAAACATACATAAAACATATTCTATCTTTATATAGCATTTCTATTTCATTAGATATTCATTGAACATTTATTAAAATAAATGAGAAGATAAATTCTCCAGCACAGGGACGATAAAATCCTGCAGGGAGGGGGAGGTTTTCCATGGATCCCAGTGCTGGGATCCCTCATTCCCCCGTGCTCTCTNAGTGTGGCTTTGGCAAACTGCACTGTGCCTATCCCTGCTTCCCACTTGTTTAAAAGCAAGTTTTACTAAAAGGGCTGTAAAGCTCATCATGAACAGCAGAGTGACCTCATGAATGCAGAATTAGAGGTTTTTTTCAACCAAGTTAATGATAACTTTATTAACTGGATGTGGTTTTCCAGAAGGTTTCCCTTTACCAATGATTAGCCCTCACAAATGAAAGCCTCAACACTGGTAAAGCTGATAAAACACTTTTCCATAGCAGTGCCAATAAAAACAACTTTAAAGACCTCTGTAGTGATGGGAGAAAACAAGCAGTGCCCAAGTGGAGCAGTGCAATAACCTGCAATAACCCATGACTGTGCTGTCCTTTCTCCCCCAGCCTGATCCCTTTCCTCCTCATGGTGCCGGTGTTCTGCCTGGGCAACAGCAGTAATTGCTACCAGAACTTCAGCCAGAAGCACGGGTGAGCTCCCTGCCTGGCTGAGGCACAGCCCCAGGGCTGCCCTGCTGGGCTGGCAGCAGCTCAGGCTGTCCCCTGTGTCCCCAGGTGTCTCCTGATGCACACGGAGGTGGCCGAGCCCCCCAGCGCTCCGCAGGGCCTGAGCGGCTCCGTTTGCCGCGCCGTGCATTTCTACGGCATCGGCGTCTTCCTCGTCTCCTTCCTCATCAGCTTTGTGGCCATCCTGGTAAGGCTGGGGCTTGTGG